TCCTTCCATTTCCATGCAATTTCCCTTTCTCTCCCTTTTCCTCCCACCTCATGTCTCTGTTTAATGTTAATCTTTTCCTCCTGCTCTTCCTCCCTGCTCTGTTCTTAGTTGCTCTCATTATATCAAAGAAGACATTTGGCATTTGTTTTTAGGGATTGGCTAGCTTCACTTAGCATAATCTGCTCTAGAGCCATCCATTTCCCTGCAAATTCCATGATTTTGTCATTTTTAGTTTTCTTTGAGTGATTTTTATTCAAATCAATGGCACCTAAAAGCTCACATTCACCAAATTTTTATCTTCAACCCATCAACTCATTTAATTTGTTTTAATATTTGTTTTAGTTTTAGGTGGACACATAACCTTTGTTTTATTTTTTATGTAGTGCTGAGATTTGAACCCAGTGCCTCACACATGCAAGGCAAGCACTGTACCACTGAGCCACAACCCCAGCCCTCAACTCATTTATTATAACTAACTGCTTATTCAACATTCTGTCTTGAAGGTACCACAAACAGATTAACTTCACATCTCCAAATGGATCTTATTTTTCTCAGTCCCACAAAAGTCTATTCTTCCTTCTACATGTTTGTAAATGAACCCACTTCCTCTGCAATTGGATGAATCAGAGCCTAAGAATCTCTGTAAGACTCCTCATTATACAAATACCTATTTAGTATCTACAATGAGTCAAGTATTTTTCTAGGCCTTGGGAATACAGTAATATAGTAAACAAAGCCATGCTTTAGAGAAGCATTCATTTTAGTAAAGGAAAATAACCAAATAATACACATATTTCATAATAAGTTTATAAACATATTGAGGCAGATATATACACATACACACACATAATAACTGCACATATTTGAAGTGTACAATTTGACAATTATTGAAGTATGTATGGAACCAAAAAACAGTTACTGCAATCAAAAGAGTAAACATACCAATCACCTTAAATAGTTGTTTCCTCCTCCTGTTTTCTGTGATTTGAGATTTGCACATTGTTTAGAATTGTATAAAAAAGATTGTTTACATTTCTTTTAGTTTTTTAGTATAGTTGTGGATGAACATAATGCCTTTATTTTATTCATTTATTTATTTTTTATGTGGTGCTTAGGATTGAACCCAGTGCCTCACATGTATAAAGCAAGTGCCCTGCCACTGAACTACAGCCCTAGCCCCTATTTACATTTTTAAAAACATTTTTTTTGAGGGGTAAGTTCTAGTGTTACTCATTGTGATTATTTAGATTTATCCATGTCCTTTGTGTATATCAGCTATACATTTCCTTATTATTGTTGAGCAATATTCCACTAAATGTATAGATACATATATATTTACATATGTACATAATATATTATATATTCATATATATGTGTGTGTATATGTGTGTGTGTATGTATATGTGTGTGTGTCCATTCATTTGTTCATGGAATCTGAATTGTTTCCACTTTGGCTATTTCAAAAAAGGCAGCTATGAATATTTGTTTGCACATTTATAAAGCAATTTATATATTCTCTATTAGCTGTTGCATAAATACCAAGAGGTAGAATGACTAGTAATAGGGTAACCAAATGCATAAATTTTTAAGAAACTCTTCCTGTTTCCACCAGCAACATATGGTAGTCCAGTTTCTCCACATCCCAGCCAGAATTTGGTCTTTTTTAGTCATTTTAATGGATATATGTATTATACCACTACAATTTTAATTTGCATTTATCTAATGATTAACAATGTTGATAATATTTTCATGTGCTTATTTGCCATCTCTGTATCTTCTTTAGCGAAGTATCTATATGAATTTCTGATATATTTTTAAATTGAGTTATTTGTTTTCTTATTAGTATTTAGACTTTTTTATATGTTTTATATACAAGTTCTTAATTAATGTATGATTTTCAAATATTTCCCTTATTTTGTATTTGACCATTCTTAACAATTGTCTTTTCACAAATAGAAATTTTTATTTTTGATAAAGTCAGATTTTTTCTGTGTATTATTCTTTTAATTTGATTTGTGTAAAATATTTGCTTAGCCCAGGTCACAAATATTTTTTCCTATGTGTTCTAGAATTTTTATACTTTTAGGATTTATATTTAGATTTATGATCAATTTTGAGTTAATATTAACATATAGTGCCAGGTTTGAATCAGAGTTTAATATTTTTAATACCAGTGTCCATTTATACCATTACTATTTTGAAAACATGACAGTTTCTTAACTAAATATCCTTTCTGCAGTTCTGTGTAAAAACTATATTCTGCATATCTGTGGATTGGTTTCCAAACTCTATTCTGTTCCATTGATATATGTGTCTTTCTTTGTGTCAGTACTGAATTTTGTTTACTATAGCTTCATAAGACTTGAAATCTAAACAAATCAGTGCAATAAATTTTGAATTTTTCCTTAAGGTTGTATGGATGTTCAAAAGTTTTTGCATTTTGTATGACTTCTAGAATGAATTTGTCTTATTCTACAAAAATGCTTTCTGAGATTGTCATTGAGACCATTTGTAATACATAAAATGATTTCGATAGAAATGACATTGTGATAAGATTGAGTCTTCTAAACAGTTAACTAAGTATATCTCTATATTTATATAAATCATCTTTGATTTCTCTCAGCAGTAATTGGTAATATTCAATCTATAGGTCTTATATATTTTTGTCAAATTAATCTCTTAGTTATGTCATTATTTTGATGTTATTGAAAATGTTAACATATCTCAGTTTGCCTAGCATGTGCAAGTCCGTGGGTTCAATCCAAGAAAAACACACACACACACACACACACACACACACACACACACACACACGGTTCTTCATGGCTTTCTTACTCCTCCTTTAAAAAAGTTTCTGAAAACAATAGCCTATTTTAAATTTCAGTTTTAAATTTTTCTTATTGGCATAAATAATAGTTTATTTTTGTGTATTAACCTTATTTTCTTCCCCTTTAAACTTGTGAGTTCTAGTAGCTTTATTATAAATTGAATCATATTTTCAATATAGTTTTATTTTCTGAATAAAGACAATTTTACCATTAGCTTTTATATGTACTTTCCTTTTATTGCTTTTTCTTGACTTATTGCATTCCAGTATAACCTTCACTATAAGATTGAATAGAAGTTGTGACAGTAGACACCTTATCTTATTCTTGATCTTAGGAGGTTGCAATCATTCTTTCCTGTTTAAGTAGGATATTCTTGTAATTTTTTTGTAGATGTTCTTTATCAGATTGGGAACATTGCCTCCTATATATACACTGAAAATTTATATTAAGAACAGTTATTGGAATTTACATAGTCTTTCATTTCAATTTGATGATATAGTAAATGACATTGACCAGTTTCCAATTTTTAAAATGCAATTGCATTGTTGGGATGAACTAAATTATAGCCAGTTTGTTAACATTTTATTAAAAATATTTGCATCTAGCTGGGTGTGTTGGCACACGTCTATAATCCCAGTGACTAAAGAGACTGAGGCAGGAGGATTGCAAATTCAAGGCCAGCCTTAGCAATTTAGTGATGCTGTAATCAATTTAGGATGATCCTATTTCTAAATAAAAAAAAAGATGTGGAGATGTGGCTCAATGGTAAGCACACTTTAGGTCCAATCCCTGGTTAAAAAAAGAAAAAGAAAAAGAAAAGAAAAAGAAAAAAATTGCATCTATATTCATGGCTGATCCAAGACTGTATTTTTCTTATAGTAACTTTGTGTGTTTGTATAGCAGGATATATTGGCTTTATAAAATGACTTGAGAGATATTCCTTTCTTTTTTACTTTATTGAAGAATTTGTATAGAAATTTTCATTATTTGTTTCTTAAATTATCATCAGAATTTACCAGTGAAGCATTTTGGACTTAAAGTTTTCTTAGTGGGAAGTTTTTTTTTTTTTTTACTCTAATTTGTTATATATGACAGCAGAATGCATTACAAATTCATATTATGCATATAGAGCACGACTCTTCTTATCTCTGACTGTACAAAAAACAGAGTCATACTATTCGTGTCTTCATACATGTACTTAGGGTAATGATGTCCATCTCATTCCACCATCCTTCCCACTCTCGGGCCCCCTTCCTTCTTCTCCCATTCCTTTGCCCTATCTAGTGTTAGTATAATCCTTCCATGCTCCCCACCAACCCCATCATGAATCATCATCCTAATATTAGAGAAAACATTCAGCATTTGGTTTTTTGGGTTTGGCTAACTTCACTTAGCATTATCTTCTCCAACTTCATCCATTCACCTGCAAATGCCATGATTTTATTCTCTTTTAATACTGAATAATATTCCATTGTGTATACACACAGCATTTTGTTTATCCATTCATCTACTGAAGGGCATCTAGGTTGGCTCCACAGTTTAGCTATTGTGAATTGTGCTGCTACAAACATTGATGTGGCTGTGTCCCTGTAGTATGCCGTTTTTAACTCCTTTGGGTATAGACTGAGGAGAGGGATAGCTGGCCAAATGATGGTTCTATTCCCAGTTTTCCAAGGTATCTCCACACTGCTTTCCATATTGGCTGCACCAATTTGCAGTCTATTGGAAGTTTTTATGTTTTCTTTTTATTTTTTCATCTCTGTTTTCATTTTAAAAATAGAAATAGAGCTATTTATGTTATCTATTCTCGAGTAAACATTAATAATTTGTATCTGTTAATGAACATGTCCGTTTTATTTGTTTAATTTTTTGGCATAGGTTAACCAAAATATTATTATCACTTTCTTTATCTGTAGAATTTTTAGTGGTAGTATTTCTTACATTTTTTTTCTTATTGGTGATTTGTATGTTTTCTCTGTTTCTTCCTCTTTTCCTGAGTAATTTGGCTAGAGATTTTCTAATTTTATTGATCTTATCAATAATTTAATTGGGTTTTGGCTTCATTAATTTTCTATATTGATTTTTAAAATTTCTTATTTCTTTGAATTTACTCTGAACTTTGTTATTTCCCATCTTCTGCTTACATTTGGTTTTGTTTGCTCTTTTGTCTAGGGTTCCTAAGGTGGAAACTAAAGCCTCAGGTTTGTGACTTTTTCTTTTTTTCTGATATAGGCATTTTGTACTATACATTTACCTTACGGATTGCTTTAGTGGGTTCTCACACATTTTGATGTTTTAATTTTTATTTGATCTAAAATGCTTCATAATTTGTCTTATGAGTTTGTTTTTGACCTTGGATTATTTAGAAGTGTCATATTGGTTTACAGATATTTGAGGATATTATAGTTGTCATGCAGTTATTGATTTCCAGTTTAATTCCATAGTGGTCAAGTAACATTCTATATTGGAATTGTATTATTTTAAATTTATTGAAAAATATTTTATGGACTGACTATAGCCTGTCTTTGTAAGTGTTCTGTGTGAACTTTGAAAGAACTATTGGTGGATGGAATATTCTACAAATACCAGGTCAAATTGTCAGTAATATTCTTCAAATTATTTATGTCGTTAGTGATTTTTCTGTCTACTTAATTGAATATTGAGAGAGGATATTAAAATCTTATATAATTATGGATCTGTTAAGTTTTGCTTCACATATATATCACTCACAAGTATTTGGGATTTCTATGTTTTCTTGATGAATTAATGGTTTATTACATAGCAACTTTTTTTTGTAGTCTTTCTTTTGAAGTAACTTTGCCTTATATTGATATAGCCATTCTGGCTTTTAAAAGAATAATGTTAGCATGGTAAACCTTTGGGTTTTTTTTTTAATGATTTTCTATTAGCCTCCTATGTATATTTAAAGTGGAGTTATTCCTGGAAATCTCTAGATAGGTCTTGTTTTAAAATTTGCGATGTCAATTATTATATTTTAACTGGGAAATTTAGACCATTATGGTTAATTTTGTTATTAATATATTTAGGTTTAAATATACCATCTTGCTACTTCTTTTCTTTTTTGTACTATTTCTTCTTTGAGACTTCCCTCTTTGACTCTTCAAAATTAATATGTTGTATAATTTTATTTTATTTATTCTTGAACATACAAGCTACAACTATTCAAATTGTTATTATAGCATTATTTTAGGATTAGTCTACCTTTTAGGAACATCATACCTTTTCCTCTATATTAAGAGAATATAGAGTAGTATATTTCCATTTTTCTTCCTTTTGGGATTTCTACTATTTTTATCATATAACTTACTTCTAATATATTGCAAACTCAGCACTACATAATTGTTATTTTTGTTTAAACAGCCACATGTCTTTTACATATGCTTATTTAAGTTAGAAAAATCTTATGTTTATTCCCATAGTTAACCATATCTGTTCTTCATTTCTTTTTTGTGTGTGTGCACATGCATGTGATAATGGGAATTGAACCCAAGTACAAATATAATATTGTACATTATATTTCACCTTTATACTTTACCACTGGGCTTTATCACTATTGCCTTTTATTTTTAATTTTGAGACAAGTTCTTGCTAAATTGCCCAAACTGACCATCATCTTGGAATTCTCCTGCCTTAGCCTCCCAACTTTCTGGCACCACTATGCCCAGCTTTTCATTCCATTTTTTAGATGGATATTTTCATCTAGTATAATTCATTATCTTATACTTGAAGAACTTTGAAATTTCTTGTGAGGTAGATCTGCTGGTTTAATTCTTTCAATGTTTTTTATTTGTATTTTGTACATTATATTTCACCTTTATTTAGACAGATTTTTTTTCTAGTTACAGAATTCAAGACTTTCATTTGTTTTCCTTTAGTGTATCAAAGGTTTTGCTTTCACTTCATGAATTTATTATTTCTGATGAGAAATTTGCTGTTATGTCATTTTTATTATTTTTAGTAATATCTTTTTTTCCTCTGGATTCCTTTAATATTTTTATCTTTATGACTAGTTTGTGCTGTTCAATTTGATATGAGTTTTTATAATTTTCTTTTTGTGATTGTGATGTTTTAATTAGCTGCTATCATCTATAAGCATGTATTTTTTAATAACATTTAACCTTTTTTTAGTTATTATTTCCTCAAGTTTTTTTTTTTTTGTTTGTTTGTTTGGTTTTGGTTTCTTTGATTTTGTGGGTTTTTATTGTTGTTGTTTGTTTTGTTTATCTTCTCTCTATTCAGCTTCTGAAATTCATCTTCACATGCATAATAATATGCAGTTCCTGGTGTTGGCTGTTTCCCAACTCTCCAACTCTTGGTTCTTTTAAAAAATTTTTACCCTTTAAAATATTTTTTCCATGTATTTCATTTAACATATTGTTTATTCCTGTTTTCAAGCTCACTTATATTTTTTATCTCTATTTTTTCTGTCATTGTTCATTATCTGTCATTAATCCCATACAGTGTATTTTTAGCTTAGAAGCATTGCAATGTTCATCCTTGGGAACACAGTACTTTTCATAACCTTAAAAAAAAATTGCCATGTCTTGGATTTCCCATGCTTTTTGAACACATAAATTATAGTTAAATAATTGTTAAAGCTGTTACATTGTCCATTTCTACTCATTCTAACATCTTTGTCAGTCCTGGGTTAGTTTTGAGTGACTGATTTTTCTTCCAAGTATAAATCATATATTTCTGCAAATTACAAACCTGGTAATTTTTAAAAATTAATTTATTTAATTAATTAATTTTTATTTATAAATGACAGTGGAATGCATTAAAATTCTTATTATATATGTAGAGCACAATTTTTTATCTCTCTGGTTGTACACAAAGTATAGTCACACCAATTTGTGTCTTCATACATGTACTTTGGATAATAATGTCCATCCCATTCCACCATCATATCTAACCCCATGCCCCCTCTCTTCCCTTCCCACCCCTCTTCTCTACCTAGAGTTTGTCTATTGGATACCAGACTCACAGAAGTTCACTTCATTGGAAACTAGATATTTATGCATTCCTATATATATTCTTGAGCTTTTTTTCTGGGCCCCAATGAAGTTAAATTGGAAACAGATTAATCACTTTGGCTCTTTTATTATTTATTAGGTATGATCAAAGCAGCATTTTTCTAGATCTAATTGTTCCTACTATTAAACGGAGATACTTTTCTCTAATATGGCTCTGCTAGTTGTTTGTTTTTCCAGCATGGCTGGTGAAAACAGGCTTTATCCCCAACCTGTTTAACTCCTAGGTACTAATTCCTCTAGTTTTCTTGGGGGTTCTTTTCCCGGCCTTGGGCAGTTTACTCTTACAAGTGCTGATCAGAATTCTGCTGAATCCTTGAATGGGACCCTCTATATGTCTCCCAATTTCTCTGTGCAGTTCTCTCCTAATAGCTGGTCCAGTGAACTCTAGCCACCTTCATCTTCCTCAATTTAGCTCTGTCTTCTCAACTCAGGGAGGCCACATTAGTATAGAGCTCTCCCTTGCCTGAGCTACAGCCTTGAAACTCAAGATGGTGAGCTGCAGCTCTCCTGGGGCCATAGGGTGCTCTCATTTGTTTCTTGGATTTCAGGGATCAGTGTTCTCTGATGTCCCATGTTCAATATTCCTAAAAGCATTTTTTCCCACATATTTGATCTTTTCATTTTTAGTTGTTTCAGGTGATAAAGTAAATCCAGTCCCTGTTTCTTCATCTTGTCCCAATAGTACATGTTTTAAAGAAAAAGTAAAATAGAGAAGTAGGTAGAAAAATTTCATGAAGATGAGAAACAACAGTTAATGAGGTTTATCAAAATGGAGTGGGCATCTTTATGAGATATCCACCCTTCAATTGCCCATTAAAGAGAGGGAAAGGGAAACAGAAAAGATAATTTTTTCGTATACCTTTGTTACCACTACAGGCCATAAACTTTTGGACATAGCAGAGAACACATCTATCACAAACCAAATATTAAACATCATGTGAGGCATGACACTTTGAGTTTCATGATACTGAAACCAAATTCTACACCTCTTTCCATACCTTGGGGTTCAATGTTACCATTTTCTCCAATTTAAGTTCATATTCATGAGGTGGAGTGGAGGAGGTGAGATAGAAGGCTGACAGTCCTGTCCACTCCTTTCCCTGGTCTCTTCTCTCCTACCCTATGCTAGTGAGTACAATGTAGACTTCATGTTTTATGAAAATAAAGACTGAATAATTTGATCCCAGGTATTTTATGACAGAGAAACCTTAAGCATTTTTATTATGCCTACCTTATTTCCTAACTAATGATTCCTTTCCATTCATAAAGTCCTTCACACTTAAATATAAACATTATTCAACCAGTGATTAATTTAACATTTGGAGTAATTACACTCCCCACCCACACCCCCTAAAACTATGCCAAATTGCCTTTTATCATATTTCAGACCCTAATAACCCAAATTTTTATTACCACCTGTTTACATTGTTTCTCGAATTTTGGGCATATGGCACATTGATGCAGTCACATAAATAATAAATAATCAAACAGAATAGTTTACAGTATTTGAGAGAGAAATACTCTGTTATTCAAATGAGTTTTACAAAATCTTTTCATTTGTGTGCATTAGGCTTCACTAGTGTCAAAGGAAGGCACTTGTCCTTTGGAACAATGAGTGTCCTTTTGTGATTGGCCTGAGTTCCACTTTGCTCCTCAAGGATTCTTCCAGCCATTTACAATAATAAGAAATCCTACTGGACAAAAGAAGTTATTTAATCTAGTATTCTCTCCTAGTCAGAATCTTTTATACCATGGGTAGTATTATTAGTAGACTGATGTTCTTTTCATCAACCTGTATGCATGTTAACTTAAGAAAACCTTCCAACTTTCTTTCAAAATATCCACCATCTTCCATTACCTAAGTATAGCCATAGCCATTTTCCCCTTAAAACTCCTTGCTGACAGATTTTTCCTTCATTTAATAAAATTTTGCAACACTTTGGATATAAATATGTTTCACCTGGTAAGCTATTTTAATAGCAACCTGGATTAAATCATATAGGAGAAGAGAGATTTAAAAGGAGGTTTTAAATGCACTCCATATATACCTTGTTTTTTAGCAGTAAGGCGAGAGGTTTGAAGAAAAGTTTCAGAGTCATTTAATGAGGTTGTGGGAAGGCGTGTCTTTTTTCCCAGAATGTTCTAAT